CCCCAAAACCCCAAAACCCCAAAACCCCAAAACCCCAAAACCCCAAAACCCCTTTTGGCAGATGGATGGTTGAATCTGCATCATAACTAAATAACTTAAGAAAATTATATTTTGATCGATTTTTCTAAAATTAAGATTCAAATTTCTTTTCTTGGATTTTCTTTGTCTTAATATCCTCAACTGGGTTTTGGTAGTCCTTGAAATCTTTCTTAAACACAGCGTTATAAAGCATCTTGAAGAACAGGATCTGCCAGTAGCAATTGAGGAGTAATAAAATCATTAGTAAGATTTGCATTGAAGTTTGATGATTCGTGTTTTGATCAAATCTCCATCTACCTATCATAGAACCTTCGATGATAACTTCTTTTGTAAACACTATAATTCTGAGATAAATCCAGGATATGTTCATCACAATAAAGATAGGAACTGTCAAGATAGGAGACCAGATGTCGTTGACACATCTAAGGAAGCCTACAAATATTTCACCGACATCCATTTGGAGCATGACGTTGATGCCGCTATTCCAAAAATTAGTCATGTATGATCCAATAATCAACATTATCGTAATATAATGATGTAGTAGCATTTCGAAGAAATCCTTCTGAGCTTTGTTCAAAAATAAATGGATCATGTCAGAGGTGTGGTAACTGATCCCTGCCATATAGTAAAGCTTGAGTAATCTTGGAGGTTTGTTGAATGGCCAATCTGAGTCAAGATACATCATATTACCCTCCCCAAACATGTAAGATGAGTGGTAATTAGTGTCAGAGTATACGTAATACCCGAAAGCAATCATTCCTCAGTAATAAAAGAATTTAAATCAGTTTTTTGTGGCTTTAAAGACTTTTAATTCAAGAGCATCGCCTTCAAACTTCTTTGAGAATCTACTCCTGAAGTATCCGCTTGTAATCTTACTGGTGAATATTTGCCCAAGGAACACCATTGGTGTCAGGTACGCTACAAGTCTGTAGTCATACCAATCCGTATTATCATAATCTGGTCTCTCAAGCCTTCTAAATCTTGCAAAATCTTCTCAGCAATTATACAAAATTGGAATCACAGAGAGAAGAGCGAAGAAAATTATTAAGAAAATAAACTGCTGCGCGGTAAGGCTATCCCTTACGCTATAAAGCCATTTTAACATGATTCTATTATTTTTATTAGGCTCGGGGTTTTGGGGTTTTGGGGTTTTGGGGTTTTGGGG